AACAATGACCATTGTGTGTATCTAGGCTGCTTTCAAGGTGATAATTCTCTCTCTCTCTCTCTCTCTCTCTCTCTCTCTCTCTCTCTCTCTCTCTCTCTCTCTCTCTCTCTCTCTCTCTCTCTCTCTCTCTCTCTCTCTCTCTCTCTCTCTCTATTTATCTATCTAGCTATCTAGCTATCTATCTTATAAAGAAGCTATGTTAAAGCCCCTGTAATACTGTCATGTGGGTCTTTGCCTTCAAAATGGCCTTCAGCTCTTTGAATGGAAGAACACTTCAAATAGGGAAATAAAATCTGTAAAACAGGACACATCATTGCTTGATGAAGGAGGATCGATTACATCTGCAGAGTTGTCTTCAGGAGAAGCAATGTGTAAAAATGTTTAAAATATTGTATAAGCATTTTTAAAACATCTCCGTGGGAAGAATGGCAGGCCTTGCTTATGGTCCCTGTTTTATTTCATCACAGTTTTCCTTCCAAAGGACCCTCAGAGTGGTTAACAATAATAAAATACAAATGGAAACAATGTAAAAATGATATAAAATGAATACATTAAAAACATTTCGTAGAACAAATTTTAAAAAACATAGCTAGTACTCAGTGGTACACCAGGTTATAGGCCAGAAGATTGTTTAAATTAAAATATCTTTGTCTGACAGCAGGGGAACAGAAAAGTTGCCAACTTGATCTTCCTTGGCAAGGAGCTCCAGAGTTTGGGAGAGAGGGCAAGGAAGGTGTAGTCAAACACGAATGTCTTGCTTTGTTTGCTTGATTTGAAAGACTTATGTTCCTGCTTTTACATTCCACTAATGCAGCAGTGGAACATTCCTCTTCTGAAATAGCTTGAAAACATGCCTTATTAGAAGGTCCTAAAGAGCGGGGGGGAAGGGCATGGCATTTGCCAGGTGCTAATGTTCATTTTATAGACCACACTCTTAGCAGCAATTGTGAGGCTCTCTTGTGGGGAAAGTAATTTTTTTTCCTAAGAAGGAAATATTGCATGTCAGTGGTGGAAACAAGAGGAGGTAGCTGGATCTTCTCTAAAATGCAAGTCACGTTTGTGCAGTACACATACACTACAAACGGATTGCTTTGCAGAACTGTGCAGGGTTTAGCATTTTGACCTTGCAGGGACAGGAATTGCTAGTCTTGGTTCACAAGGTGGCCTCCAAGGTCAAGACTGGTGGCTAGGAGGAGGATAATATCAAAAGTTGAGGCCCAGATGCTAAACTCCAAAGATCTCCATTCCATTTGTATTTGGAGTTCCATTCCTTATAAGATACTATAATATGTGTTAAAGTTCAATGTTTAGCAATCTTTTCAAAACCATAGCAAACAAATAATCCTCCACACATAGACACCAGTTTGTTAATAGTTGTTCTGCCAGCTGGAGAGTTTCCATTTTCAGGTCTTGTGATCGTCCCGACTGTTTAGGAATTCAAAAACTTTTCTGCTGCTGTGTTTTAGCTGTCAGCTATTACTGGTTACATTAGCAAATCTAGTTATTTAGTTAATTAATTTACAAATAGGAAAATAGTTTTTAAGTGATCTATCTCTTTTTTTAAAAAAAAATCTTTGCAGGCCATTTTAGCTGAAGAATGGACCTAATTCCAGAGCAAATGGGGATCACACACATAGTTTTACCTCAGATTAGTTAATCAGGAATAACCACCAACACCCCTTTTCAGTATTTACAATCACTAATGTGAAGTTGAATTCCTGCCATGTGCAAATATTTAAAATTGGCAATAGCAGACATAAGTTAACATATTTTGTTATGTGAGCTGCATCTTTGGAGGTTTATCTATCAATGACTGTATCTTGACAAACTTTAAGTGAACAGAGTTTAGGAATTTTACTGTTTGTTTGAAATGGATCACCTGTGTACATAGCAGGTGCTCTGAAACTTCGAGGCAGGGGAAGGATGAACAGCTTGATTATCCTGGTTTCCCCCATATTTTCTAAATCTATATCTAGATTGCTACTTTCAAACTCATTTCTTCTTTTTCCAAGCTCTTTGTTTAAAGCTATTTCCTGCTTCTTTCTCCTCCTGGTTAAAAATATGCAGGTTTACAGGTTCTCATTCATTCATTCATTCATTCATTCATTCATTCATTCATTCATTCATTCATTCATTCAATCAATCAATCAATCAATCAATCAATCAATCAATCAATCAATTTTGTTTATATCCTGCTCCCATCAGTGCCGAGGCACTACCCTGGGCAGTTATCACAAATATAAAACATATGAAAAATAAAAATAAAAGTACTAAAAACAAATTGCAAATAACCATAAAGGCAGATGGTGTGAAACAGTCATATAGGAGCCAAATTAGATGGAATTAAAACAGAGTAGGTGATTGGACAGGGTCAGTGTGGAAAGCTTCCCTGTAAAGCCAGGTCTTTACCTGCCTCCGAAATGTCAACAGGAAGGAGGTTAGGCAGAGCTCCTTCCAAAGCTGGTTCCATAAGTCTGGAGCCACTGCAAAGAAGGCCCTATGTCTTATAGAAGAGTTATGGGCCTCCCTTGGAGTAGCCACCCGGAGGAGCCTTGACAGAGATGATCTTGTGAGTTTGGCAGACCTGATGAAAGGTCTGATGAAAGCCCTGTATTTTGGTTACTCTATTATCCATTTTTAATTTGGGCATCCCAGTTCATGTCCATGGAAGTAGTTGTGTATGCCCATAATAAAAAAAAAATCTATCCATCTTGTTTTGAAAGACTGCAGTGTATTAGAAATCATAGCAGTGAACCTGGAAAAGTTGCCTGAGGAAGTGACTGTTGCAATTAGACTTACAGCTATAAATTCCAGGAATACTGTAGCAAGTTAAGATATTCAGTAGCAACACTGACTAGAATTGCTTCAGTTCCCCCACTCCAGCGCCTTTTCTTCAGCAATTTCTTTCTGTTACAGTTTCAAGTGGCTATAGGGGAACATTGTTTTGTAAATTGCTGTGGAGCTTTATAGCCAACATTTTGTGAAGTATTAAAGAGTTTTAATTGCTGTAGAAACATGCAGCCTGGATAACACTGAAACACAAATCAAATGCAATATTAAGTTGCCTTTCCCCCCTTTACTGGCTTTGTGAAATCTTTTATGATTTCTTCAGAATTTTTGGGTGGCTGTGCAACTCAGTCTGAAGACAGCTAGATATTCTTCTTAAAATAAAACAGCTCTCTGTTCGAAGGGTTATCAGAGAAGGTACTCTTTGTTTGAAGGGCTGTCATGTCCTGGCCCACACGCTAATGGTCAAATCATACTTTAAAGGAAATGGTTATTTCTTACACTTTCCACATTTTCCCTGCAGAAATCCTCTAAAACGATGTGCTTGAGAAAATTGAATTGGAAAGGAAGGCAGTTTTTATCTTCCAATGAGCAGACAAAAGCAAGTTACAGTAATTTGTAAAATGCTGATTGAGGCCAGTTCTTGGTAGATCTCTATTGCTTCCTAAGGGAGCCCTGCTTTTAATGACATGCTGACAATATCATCCAGTTCTGTCCTTAGCAGACAGAGCATGAGCCCCGACGTTGTCCATCAGCATCTGAGCAGCAGACTAGGGAGGTACATAAATCAACCAGACACAATCTTCCTCACTGTTAGGAGACATATTAGCTGCAATCCTGTTGCTTAGCTTAGTAAGTTACAACTAGAATAGGCTGCTAAATCAAAGCAAAAGCAAAACATGCCAAAGCATTTAAAGCACTGTTACGGTAGCTTGGAAGCCACCTGTCCATCATTGCTGTAGAGGCATGTCATCTGCCAATAGTGTGACGGAAGGTGGGACATAAGGGGTGGAGCCAGTGTACAGTATATAAGGGGAGTGAATGGGTGCAAGTGCTTTAGATAGGGACCAGATAGGGACCTGATAGGGACTGGTTAGGGACCGGTTAGGGTGTTAGGGTTTATAAACAGATCTCCATTGCTTCCTAAGGGAGCCCTGCTTTTAATGACATGCTGACAATATCATCCAGTTCTGTCCTTAGCAGACAGAGCATGAGCCCCGACGTTGTCCATCAGCATCTGAGCAGCAGACTAGGGAGGTACATAAATCAACCAGACACAATCTTCCTCACTGTTAGGAGACATATTAGCTGCAATCCTGTTGCTCAGCTTAGTAAGTTACAACTAGAATAGGCGGCTAAATCAAAGCAAAAGCAAAGCATGCCACAGCATTTAAAGCACTATCTGGGTAGTTTACAATTATGCAGGCTACACATTCAGCCCCCCACCCCACCAGCTGGGTAGTCAGTTTACCAGCCTTGGGAAGATGGAAGGCTGAGCCAACCTTGAGCTGGCTGTGTGAATCTGTTGGGATCAAACACTGATCATGAGCAGAGTTTTGACTGCAGTACTGCACGCTAAAATCAATTAAAAATTATGGAGGAGTTAATCACCAAACCCCCACTTGTTCACCGGGCTTATTCTAGTTGTGACTTAGCTATGCTAAGCAACACAATTTCACTGTGTATTCTGATTAGGTTATTGCAATACTGTACTTTCTAATTATGCATCTATATGTATAAGCCCCTCTGTGCAAGATTGATGGAAATCTGATTGTTCTCTTGTCCTTTATTTTTAATGGAAGGTAAGTAGTCATTATTACAAATATACAGAAGAAGAACTCATTTGCTTTGAATTGTGTCCAGTTGTTAAACTGCCAACTTCCTCAGCAAATTGTATGGAAGCGGAGACACAGATGTTTTCTGATTGTCAGAATGATGTATTTCACTGAATGGCGTGTGCAACCAAAGCACCTAATTCATAATTCACACTGTAGCTGAACACAGAAAATGTCAGGTGAGACACAGCACCTGGTATAATTATTTTACAAGATAAACCATGTTAAGATTTGGGGAAATGAAGCAATTATATGAACCATGCTTTGTATTCTGTCTCTTGAGAAAGAGTGATTATATAGCAACGTGCCCTTCTGGGGAATGACCATACAAGGAGTTCTGTTTCAATGTTTGGCCTTTTGTTTTTGCTTTCCTTGAAGGGGATCTGCCATTGCAAAAATTATAGGTCAAAATATCCAGAAATCCATGAAGTTTGATCCCATCATAAAGATGTGGATATTTGAAGAGACAGTCAATGGACGGAAACTCAGTGACCTTATTAACCAAGACCATGAAAATGTGAAGTATCTCCCAGGCCATAAGTTACCTCACAATGTGGTAAGTGGTTTTAAGTGTAGTTTCAGTTTTAAAGCTCTTATGCTTGGGCCATCCTTGAATTTAATTCAAAGTAGCAGAGACAATGACCCAGTCCAGACAGTCTTAAGTAATCACAACAAACATTAGTTCCCTGGTGTTACAGATCTGGGGCAAAACTGATAATCCCTTATGGTAAATTTTTTACAGATGCCCTCACCTCACCCCAAAACTTCCTGATAGGTGCCATCAGTCAACATACATAGTCTGTCCAGCTGCTTGAGGAGTTTCCAGCTTTCCTGTCAAGAGGCCTTGCCTAAATCTAATCTTTAGGATTATGGTTAGTTAAAAAGAAATTGGGGTGGGGGAAGATTTGAGATTTTTTTGCACCAGCCATAGAAAAATAGGACGTAACAAAGCCCTTTAAAAACCCTTAAGCAGGTTTGTTACCTTACAGTCTTTCACGTGGGGGTTTAGTGAGACATTCCAAATTATCAAATGTTAAAAATGCATTTATTTGGGGAAGTGGAGAGGAAAAAACAAAAAGGAAGGAAATGACTTAAGACTCTGAGAAGTGCAAATAAAAATTGTAAAATCCTCACTATACCTAACTAGCTACATGTTACGTACTTGAATAGAATTTTGGGTCTCAGAATATATGGAGAACTCATGGGAGGGAAAATGGTCGCAGAGAAAGTCTCTTCACCTTCAGTTAAATTTTATTTTTTCTAGAGACTGAGTTTTGCTTTGTCCAATAATGCGATACCATCTGTTTCTGATATCAGTGGTCCCACTGGTAAATAAAATACTGTATAACTTAGTGGTAGGCCACCTTTTGGCGTGGTCCCATCTTAAAAGAGTCAGCAATTCTGAATTTTAAAAAAACTGTTGGGCAAAGGTGTGGGGGGGGAGAAGGTCACCTAATGCGATTTCCTGGTAGCATTATATTGCTTATCTCTTTGATCCCCTGTAGGGGGCACTGTAATACCACAGAATATAGGGCCTTGTGGTAGTCAAGTTGCTACGTGAGGAAAAATGGGGCTTTATTCTGGTTAACTTTCACTTTCTTCCTTTTCTGCATAAGGAGGAAAGTGAGAGGGATCGCTTGAAGAGAACAGGACAGCTCATTTCTAAAAACTGTGATTTAGGCAGAGGGCATATCAGATGGGCCATTGGCTTAAGAAACTGGGTTAAGGAAGCTGCTCTTGTTTTCTCAGGCTGAGAAAGGAAGCCCACTCCAAATAAACTGAGAGTTAATATAATACAAGCAGATGAAAGCTGTACATCAACTTGAGAAACGGTCTGGTCCCAGTGAGGTGGGGGAGTAATGAAAGAACCTAATGATTTTTGAATCATGTGCATGCATATTATGGGCTATCTGTACTCTGGTACTTGTCAGTCTTTCAGAGCACACTGATTTGTTGCCAGCTAATGTGCTCCAGAATATACTTCCACAAACTACCATGGCTTCTTCTGGTGGGTACCAGAATAGTGCTGCTGTCCCATACACACTTACTTGAGAGCAAGGCTCCTGTGGAGAATATGGGACTTACTTTTGAGTAACCATGCATTGAACTGGACTGCTGACAAACTTACGGGCAGAAGCTTCCCAGTGCCTTTCTACAAGTGAGGCTTACCTCTTAGTTTGCTTAAACAAGTTTATAATACCCATTGAAAGGGCTGAGTTATGTTTCACTATTACATGGGCCTATGAAGTCTAGTGCACTTTATCCCAACAATTATGAGACCAGCAGTCTCTTTGAGGACATCATAGGTCAATGGCGCCTGTGCATGTGAGTTCTGTAAGGATTTGAAATCAAATTTACCCATTAAGATTAACGTAGGAAATGCTGGCATTGCATGCGCATGTTGTGTGCCTTGAAAGACTTCAGCATATACATCTAGGAGTGCCCCCACCCCCAGAGAAGTATGCATGGGATGTTCACACGGGTAAAAATCATCTATAATTTAATTTCTTGATTGGTGTGGGAACTGTGTTGCTGTGTTATTTATGTATTTAGTAAAATTTATAGTCTACATTTTCTCTAGTAAACTCTCGGTGCTGGGGATGGCATGCCTTCTTTACGCTTTATCCTCACAACAGCCCAGTGTGGTGGTCAGGTTGAAAGAAAGTAAGCTCAGGGACTTCTTGTTTCCTGCTTCCATGCAAACACGAATCTGGATCCCAAACCCCTCAGGACAACTTTTTAACCCCTTTGCCACACTGGCTGTCTCATTGCTTAGAATTTTTAGCTGCCTTATAGCACTAAGGGGTGTGTATGTACAGTAATAATGCAAATAAAATCCCTCATCATCATAAATAAATAGCTGCATGATAAAATAATAAATTAAAAGCTGCAACTCATGTAGTGGAAGGTAAATTGATTGAAGGCACAATGATTTAACATTGTCACAAAAATAAGTTTCCATAAAAACACAGCTGATGCCAACAGATGTTGCTAGCCATTTTCTGCCCTTGGTTATTTATAGCAAAATGCAGTTAACTATTTGTATCTTTCTCTCAGGTTGCCATACCTAATGTGCGAGATGCAGCAAATGGAGCAGATATCCTCATTTTTGTTATACCTCATCAATTCATCCCTAAAATTTGTGATGATCTTAAAGGTCATGTAAAAACAGGAGCCATTGGGATTTCACTCATTAAGGTAATTCCTGGCCTGTTTGTTTTTTTCAAAGGTGGAGGTAGACTAGTCACAAATGTCCATAATTATGATTGCGGATAGGCCAAGGTGGTGGCCTTGGTAATACACCCTAAATGGGGCACAAGAAGTGACACTCTCCTCTCCAAAAACAAATGTTACAGAAAGCTAGTGCTTTAGATAGTTTGGGTCCGAGCTATCTAAACGATGGTATCGTCCTTTTTTTGAGCCTATCTGGGTATTAAGATCATCAAAAGAGGCTTTTCTCTCAGTTCCCTCATCTGCAAAAGTTTGTTTGTTGAGGTCATAAGATAGGGCTATCTCTGTAGCTGCTCCCATACTATGGAAGTGTCTTCCGGGGAGGATAAAATCACCCCACTTCTTGCAGTCCTTCCCCTGGCAAATTAAGTCCTTTTATGGTTGTTGTTGGTTTTTCGGGCTGTTTGGCCGTGTTCTGGAGGTTTTTCTTCCTAACATCTCACCATTCTCTGTGGCTGGCATCTTCAGAGGACAGGAGTTAGAACTCTGTGTTCTGGTGTAGTGTGTGGGATAGCTGAGTATTTGTAGCTGTGGGATCAGCTTTTTGTCCTTTTCAGGAGATAGGGTGATTATGGTGATCAGAGTGTTTTTTGTTATGGGTGTATTGTTGTGATAAGGGGGGTGAGATGATCTGTCACTGTGATTGATGGGTGTTGTTTGCTAGTTTTTTGTGTGCAGTGATCACCGGTCCTTGTGGATGGGTAGAGTTCCTTGACCTTTTTGCAGGCTATAGTTTTCAGTGCTGGGAGCCAGGCTTTGTTGAGTTTTAGACTTTCTGCTTTTTTGTTAAAGCTGTGCTGATGTTTGCGGATTTCAATGGCTGGGCAATCAATCAATCAATCAATCAATCAATCAATCAATCAGTCAGTCAGTCAGTCAGTCAGTCAGTCAGTCAGTCAGTCAGTCAGTCAGTCAGTCAGTCAGTCAGTCAGTCAGTCAGTCAGTCAGTCAGTCAGTCAGTCAGTCAGTCAGTCAGTCAGTCAGTCAGTCAGTCAGTCAGTCAGTCAGTCAGTCAGTCAGTCAGTCAGTCAGTCAGTCAGTCAGTCAGTCAGTCAGTCAGTCAGTCAGTCAGTCAGTCAGTCAGTCAGTCAGTCAGTCAGTCAGTCAGTCAGTCAGTCAGTCAGTCAGTCAGTCAGTCAGTCAGTCAGTCAGTCAGTCAGTCAGTCAGTCAGTCAGTCAGTCAGTCAGTCAGTCAGTCAGTCAGTCAGTCAGTCAGTCAGTCAGTCAGTCAGTCAGTCAGTCAGTCAGTCAGTCAGTCAGTCAGTCAGTCAGTCAGTCAGTCAGTCAGTCAGTCAGTCAGTCAGTCAGTCAGTCAGTCAGTCAGTCAGTCAGTCAGTCAGTCAGTCAGTCAGTCAGTCAGTCAGTCAGTCAGTCAGTCAGTCAGTCAGTCAGTCAGTCAGTCAGTCAGTCAGTCAGTCAGTCAGGGGAGAAATGTGGCATATAAAATAAAGTACACAAATAAGTAACTGTTATATTAATATTTTGCAGGTGAAGATTGAATCTCTAGTATATATATATGGACAAAACCCACATGCCCCCCAACAGTACTGTTTACATTGCTGTCTGTCAGGCTCTCTTTTAGAATGATCAGGGCCATTCTGAAAATTGACTGAACAAACTGCATACAGTCAAACCTCGACTTATGAATTTAATCCATTCCAGATTAACGTTCGTACATTGAAATGTTCGTAGGTCGAAGCACCATTTCCCATAGGAATGCATTGAAAACCCATTAATCCATTCCGGCTGAAGAAAAAAATATACCCCCCAAAAAAGAAAAATAATGCACTGCAAGTCCCATGCTGGGACTGCAAAAAAACACACACACACACGTGCACGCACACACATACACAAAACAAACACATCCAAAAATAAACATTTGAGCAAGTCCCATGCTGGCACTGCAAAAAACAAACAAACAAACAAACCAACAACACAGAAACATAACCCCCCCTCCACTCTCCTACTCTCCAAAACCCACCCAGAACAACTTTTTAAAAAGAAAAAACAGCAGCACCTTACCGGTCCGAAGCCTCCCGACCAAAGTACGAGCAGCCAGCCACTTCTCCTTCCTCCTCTTGTGCAGCTGCCCAGGGCCTTCAGTGGCACTTACTCATGAGCAGACCTGCCCCAGGGATGGGCAGGGAGCACACTGGACTGGCATCCCCTCCCCCACAGTGATCGCTGCTTTCAGAGGCCTCCCGGGGCTTGCCCAACACCATCGGAGGCAGGGG